TTTTTTTTTTTTTTAAGGAACAAGGCAAATAAAATTCCTCTGCGGTCATTGCCTTATCTCATCCTCAGTTAGACCTCCTGTGGTGGCTCATTCCATGGTTGCCCAGGGCAGTAGTGAACTAAGTAGTTGGCAGTCACCCCGAGAGCCATAGGAACTTTGTAAGGTAGCTTGAGGGAAACCAACAGGGGGGTCATTAGGTAACAGAAGTAGAAATTGGGTTATTGGTTTACCCAGAAAAGATGACTACTTCTCAGTTAGCTTTGCTTACTGGGTGTTTAAAAACAAGTCTCACATGAAACTATATTTTTCATAACCTTTACTTGACATGAAATGTAGCAATTTGATGCTTTAAACTGCCAGATGGCTTATATTTATATAACACTTGATTGGAATTGCTTATTTTATTTTATTAAAGATTGTATTCATTTATGCATATAAGAGTTGGGGTGTAGGGAGTGAGAGGATTCACCAGAAACAGAGTGGGGAGCAGAACAGGCAGATCTACTAAAATACACTGCTGAGGGGAACAACTGGCAAGACAGGAGAGGTCTGCTGAACCATGTCAGTCAGCTCCCTGCCAGGGAGCAAACTCTTGCTGAAGTTGTTGCCAATAGCTTCATAGTGCTGAGACTTAACAACCCCTTGTGCCACCAGGGAGACCCCAGAATTGCTTATTTTAAATAATATTAATCACCCAATGTCTGTTGTCTAGCAGAATTTGGGGCACAAATTGAAATTTGAAACTTTTGTTTCTTATTTAGACTCAGGTTGTATAGAGGATTCACACCATTCTTCAAACTTTTTACTCTCGGTGGCCCTTGATTGAAATGATTAGCATTGACCAGGAGTTTTTGTGAGAAGGAATTTAAAAAATATATTCATAAAAATACTTAAGTAAGTGTTATTTTTTTAGTTATTAGAGATTTAGAGTCTTTAGAGCTTAACTGGTTAATCCTTTGCAATAGCATGAAAAAATTATAGTATTATAACTTAACTTTTTAGTTAGCATGTACCTTTTTAAAATGTTTGACTTTTCAGTTTTTTTTTTTTAAATGATAACAGTGATATAGAATGTATTAATGGGTGTCTTGTGATTCTAATCTTTTAATGATTCTAAGCTTATTAGAGTAGTTTTGGAAGAGGGTTTAGCTTCTTAAAATTTTAATAAGGAGGGCTTTTCTTTCTAGCCAACTTGGATTACAGAGAGTCAGGGAATACATTCTAGGGTCCACAGGCCAATTCCATGTTCTGTGGCATCAACTTACCATAAGATAGGCTGGGAATCTCAGGTTAAATGTGTGTAGTAGCAGATGGTGATATAGCAGTGGCCAGCCCAGCTCTAACCATAGCTCTCCTTAAGCATTAGGGTCATCTTAGAGTCAGAGCTCATGGTTTTAAAATTGAAATTTAAGCCATTGCTGTCAGTAAACTTACACTGTTATTCCCAAATAGCTTCTTTCCCAGCACTGAAAATCTGTAAGGGAACTATTGTGCTTCAGAAAAACTAAAGTAAGGAACTGAAATTAAATACTGTCTCAGTGCGCGAGGAGACTAGTGGGACTCTAAAGATGTCTGGAGCTTGTGAATGTGTTATATGGCAAAGGGAATTGAGATGGCCAATGTGTTGACTTTAAAATAGGGTGATTACCTGAATTATTCAGGTGGTCCCCATGTAATCACAGGAGTTCTTAAAAGCGAGGGAGCAGAAGAGTCAGAGGAAGGTGTGACATGAAAGAAAGTCACAGAAATATGACATTGTTGGCTTTGAAGATGGTGCAGGGCAAGCACCCAGGAGTGAAGGAAGTAGTGTCTCAAAGATGAAAGGGCAAGGACGCTTTCCCTCGAGCCTCCAGAAAGATCATGGTTGCTGACATCCTGGTTAGCTCTGTGAGCCCTGTTTTGGATTTCTGATTTTCAGAATGATAAAGTAACAAATGTGTGTCATTTAAACCCCTGAATTTATGGCAGTTTGTTACAGAAGCAATAGAAAGTGAGTATTCTTGGCTCCGAGTTAGAAAAAAAATCTTAATGTTGTTGTACGTATGTAGTGATTCAACCAGTTCTTTATGTGTATTAGATGACTGGCTAATTGTACCCTTAACCAAAATACAGCTTCTTTTCCTGCTTCATCTCTCAAACTCTGTAGAAGGGACATACATGTAACAATGGATGATATGGCAATCTATAAAAACTGAACAACTTTGGAAAAGCTAGGGCTTTTCTTTACCATGAAGTAATTTAAATATTGCCATCTATAACATGCCTTGCCAAGAGAAAAAAATCTCTTACCAGGAAATAAACTGGAAAGAAAGAAAATTTAAGCTAAATATTTCCATCACTAGCATAACAGCAAATGAATTTTCTTTAAATGATACAGAATCAAACATTTATTCACTAAAAGACAATGCCTCAAGTTACATAATAATTATCCCCAAAGATAACAAAAATGAGGGTTCAGACTCAAAGCAGGATATGTGTGTGTGTGTGAAAAAAAGGCAACTGTATAATAAGTCCTCAAAACTGCACTGCAGTATAATAGATTTTGATAATCATTTGGCTAAATGGCAGCTTCCAATTTTCAATGTCCTACTTCCTCCTAAAACATTCATAATTACAGGGATTTTTAAAATACTTCAACCAATCAGCTATACACGGGTTAATAGATATGCTGGTTTTCCAATGGTTTGCTTTTTAAAGCCAGAAACAGCAGTAAGAGCACCCATTTCCTCTAGCTCATAGGAATCACCAAGTTGAGAGTTATCATGTCTTCGGGTTCTGTTGGACTCACTATTTCTCTTGTGCTGAATTTTCAGCCACACATGATTAGAACAATCCTTAAGGCCGTCCTTCTCGAAGTGTGGCTTGAGGATCAACAGGATAGACCTTATCTGGGAGCCTGGTGGAAAAGTGGAACCTCCAGCCCCACCCAGACCTCCTGAATCAGATGCTGAACTTTAACATAAAAGATCTTTAGGAGATTCTTCTGTGCATTTTAGTGCAGTAAACACTTCTCTAGACGACAGTGCTAGATTTGTAATTTCACCTGATTTAGCTTGTAGGACACAGTCCCAACATATTAATTTTGCCAACAATATATTTAAGGTGACTTTCACTAACAATGTAATTAAAAACCTGTAAAAAATTGCAACTGAAAAGAAACAGAAATTATGTA